GAACGCCCCGGGAGGGATGAGGTCCCGTTCCGTTCATTTTGGGCTCACTACAGTTCGGACTTTCAAATTGTCACGGTTCTCAATCTGAACCAAAGAGTCCAAATCCGGCAAATCGTTTTGAGAAAACATATTTTTTTTGTAAAAAAGTGTCAAACATGGACTGTTTTGCCAGATACAGAGTCGCCACCTAAATATTTTATTTTGGGGAATCTAGGAAACCCTGACTCGGTGCCAAAGGCCACGTGTCCGTCATCACCAAAGTTGCCTCGGCTCAGGAACTTGGGTACGATTAGGGAAGGTCACTTCGTGAGCACCCCCGCTCGCCCGATCCGAAGATCGGCCTCTACTAACCATGATATCCTATTTTGAAAATGTTATGTATTCTTATTCCGGTTATTAGCCTAGAATTACTATGTTATGCGCACCGCAAACAAGTATAGACCAAATCGCCTAAATTGGAACAAAACATTTCATGTTTGTTTTGAAAATGGTTTGCTACTCGCAAGTAGGCTAAAATGCAGGTTTTGCCACCCTCAAGTGGGCTTTAGAAAAGATGATTTTGCCACTACCTAGTGGGCTTAAAACTCATAGTTTTAATGCATTATTCCAATTTAGGTAATTCAACCTCCATCCACAGGCATTCAAGCAGTTATATCACATAAGCAGCTAGCCTCATGGTAATCATGCAATTATGGCAACACTCACACGCATGCGGTATGCTAAAGCGAAAGAACTTACAGAGTACTCCAAGCCAAAACAGAAACTAGTTAGTAATCATATGCATGATCCTAGTTCATGTTTAAAATGGCTAATGCAACACATGCAAAGATGCGATCTAGACAGGCTCGGCTATCCTAAACATGGCATGTGAAATGCAACAGATAACACGTATCCAATTTGGAATTGAAATACAATGCAGTTAGCATGATGCGCCGAGTCCGGTGCATGCAAGGCAAATGTATGGATGCACGCATTCATAGTATAAGGTATGCTAATTTAAATATGCCCTAGTCTAACCATCAAAAGCTACTAAATAAAAGGAAAGAAAGACGTGGGGTTGGAAGACATGCACACACTCACGCACACTTATTACACAATTGCCCTCACTCGGAGGGTCCGAAAGAATAATACAGTCCGAATAACAAATCAACTATCCTAGCGAATTAATTATTACAGACCCTTAATTAATTAACAAAATAAATGCAGAAAGAAGGTGGCCGCAGCCGTGCCTCGGAATGCGCGAATGATGCATGTTTGACTCGTCTTGCCCGGAAACTCGCTGCCATAGCACTACTGCCTCTGTTTACACTGCCCTAGCTCCTCTGGGGACTGCCAAAGTTCAAGAGTATGCTCTCTAGATGTTAGGGAATACCATCGGCTAGGACAAAATTCCACCAGCCGAAGGGGATGATCACCGGCTGCCTTTTGATCTATCGGCCACAGATTACTGGCCGGTCGGCACTGTATTTAGCCGACCGGCCAAAGCTTCCTGCAGAACCTGCAATTGACAGCAGCAGAGGGCAAGCAGTGTATGGCATGGAATTTTTAGGCAAATGTATGCATGGACACACTCCCTATCATGTAATGGACTCAAGGGAGCATGGCCCTCGACCCTCGGGCCATCAATTATGCATTTTGATGCATGATGGCCTAAGAGGCCAAGTTAGCAACTTTGATATCCAATGAAATGCAAGCACAAAACACATCAAAGGGCCCCAACCCCTATCATGATTGATTCAAGAGGCAAGAGATGCATGCTCAATGAAATGCAACCTAGGCATGGAGGCTAAGTATGCAACATGAACATGCAAATGAGCAATGTATACTAGGCGCGCAACCTAAACATGTAAGCAAACGTGGCATGCAACAACCACTGCTGGAAAATCGATTTTTAGCGGTGTTTTAAAAACGCCGCTATAGGTACTAAAAACGTCGCTAATTATTTTTGTGACGTTTAGTACAAAACGCCGACGACGCGGCCGTCGCTATAGCTTTATGGCGTTTGAAAAACATCGTTATATTATATAGGCGGCGTTTTTGTCGTACCTAATTGTACTGTGACGTCACTATGACATTTAGCGACGTTTTGGAAACGCCGTTAAAGATATTTATACATTTTAAAAATTTAACCGTTGGGATAGGGATATAGTGACGTTCAAAAAACGCCGCCATAGCCTTTATTTTTATTTTTTTTATTTTTAACGTTGCGCTAATTTTATATGGTTGAAAAAAATACCTGTCATAAACAATTATTAAGAACTAATAATTGATGTTTATTAAAATAATAAATAAACTAAGTTTGAAAACAAAATTAAAAATAAAATAATAAAGCTCCTGACATGTTATTATACCGATTAGTAACATGATTACACTCTCATCTATCCATCACATAACACATTTGGTATAAAGTTCAAAAAAAAAATTATAAATTATAAATTATAAATAAATAATAATAGTAGAAGAAGAAGAAGAAATCTGATGCACCAACATTGTATTCAAGCAATCAATATATTCTTTTTCCTTCTTGAAGACCCATCTAGCAGAGTAGAAAACTATGAAAAATCAATCAACATGCAAGAACCCTCCTATAATACAAACTGCAGACCATCTTCTTTAGATAAGTAAAGAGTTTATACAAACTGCAGACCATCTTCTTTTTTTAAGAGTCAGTAATGTATCACATTTCTCCACTTGTCCTTCAAATCAACCTAAACAAAAGAAGCCCTTATGTTAACATAAAGAAAAATAATATTAAAGCAGAAAAAAGGCACAACCATAAAAAATTCTCACCTCGATTCTCTCTTCAAATCTGTAACGATCTGAATTTAAGATGAGCTTCCAGTTCCCTCTACCAAACCTTCAAAAGAAATAAATACAAATGAGTGAGGAGCTTTACATTATCCTAGAAGATATCATCGATTATTTAATTCTCTCAGTTGACATGAAAACAATAAGAAAAATAACGTCCAATTAGTATACATTAATGTATTTGTAAAGGGAAAAAGTTGACATGAAAACAGTCCTCGAAGAAGAAGAGGACAGAACTTTCTACCCCAATGGTTAACTCATATCCCTTAGGGTGGTAAAACTGGTGCAGCATTTCAGGGTCAAACACATGCACATATAAAAAAGTGATGCTATACAATGTGGAATTACAAATATTTATTTCTTCTTTTTCTTTTAAAGAAATAAAATACAAAGAGAATACAATCTTTACCTAGGAAAAACATCTGACATAATTAAACTAATAGAACAATAAAAATATTAAGTTTATTTAATATTCACATAAAATTGAAATTCTAGAAAGGCCTTCCCTAGATTAAATGTAAAAAATCACATACTCCTGCACGCCAGTTCTCAAAGTGTCTTCTTCCAGTGTACTCCTTCTCTTAATTTTTCTCCTCCTTGCCAATTTCTTAATTTTGTGCTTCTTCAAGGGAGAAACAACCATTCTCTTTGGGGTAGACAAGTGAAGTCCACTCCGAGAATCACCTGACTCCTCAGGAAAGCCCAGACCAAAGCATGCACCATGCTGACTAACCTGCACCAATCAAAGTTTCCAACACCACTATTATAACAGAAATTCATGGTGCACAAAAGTAACCGAACAATAGATTATAGAGAGCAAGCACCTCTCCGTTGGTACTGCATAGGCTATCACAAAGAAATTGTTTGATACCCTCCCCATGGTTTGCCTGAATCAAGCCTAGGGCATAGAGAGCACCGCCCTCAGAGTATGGACTGCCACCACCACCAGCCCCACTCTGTGGCAAGTAAGGGGCCATCAGAGATCTATATGCAAATTGTACACTATTTCTCGGCTCCACAAACTGCTTTATTGTCTTGAGAATAAGAAGACCTGACCTATATGCAAATTATAAAATTAGTGAAAAAAGCTTTAATAATCATTTGTTAATACATACCCCATAGAGGCAGATCGTCTGAACAATATTTAGCATGCCGGAAACCAAGAAGAAGAAAATCAGAATAGCGCAACATAAGTGAAGAATAGAGCTCTAACAAATATATAAGATATTATTGATAGTCATCTCAATACAATTGCATATTGATAGTATTACACCAAAAGCCCAAACTGTATATAAAATAGCCCACATATATATATATATATATATAGAGAGAGAGAGAGCAAACCATTTGGGATTGAGGAACAAAGGGGAGCATTTACATCGATCTCAGCAACAATGCTAGCATCTTCGTGTCCAAATGAATCTGCAAAACCCAGAAGAAAAAAAACATGAGGAGACAGAAATAGGATGAGAAATCAAGGGGAAAAAAGAAGGAAAGGCATGGAAGAGGGAAGAGCTTACATAAGAGAGACAAGTCTGAATGAGCAAAAATCAAGCAGCAGGAGAGAAGAGAGAGAAGTTTGGGACTGGTTCTCTTGTTAGTAGCAGAGTTTCCACAGACTAAAGCAAGGGTAGTCTGTGATTCATCCTCATCTTCATCAACAACATCTATTCCCTAGTTCAAGCGATGATGACCTCATCCATTGATTTAAGCTTATTTTTGCCAGCATTCAGCACCTGCTTCACAAGAACTTGAATAAATTAAATTTGGAAAGTGTCAATTTAGTTTTAATAATTTAAAAACTAAACCACACCTGTGTTTCTTCATATTTTTCTTTGTTTGAGTTTCTTATCCCTAGCATTACTCTTACAAAAACTGATCAGGTAAGTCCCAGAGATTAGGCTGGACAAGACTGGTTCGATCAGGTAACTAGGCTAGAGAAGACTAGTCCAATTAGGCTAGACAATACTACTTCAATTAGCAATCTTTCAAATTGGAGATGGAAGGCAAGAACACAGAAGGAATGATTTCTCTATTAAAAATTGAATGAAACTAAGTTTCTATTAAAAAAATTCAGCTGTAAAACACTACTTTAGGAGTTTAGAACATTTCTAGTTAATTAGATTGAAACAGACTAATCACTATTATCATAAAGAAACAAGAAATAAAAGTTTATCAATTCAGCTAGTAACCTTGTATTAGTTTTAATCATCCAAAACAATGACCCCAGGGTCCGATTTATCGGCGCTTTCTTTAGTTGGTTCATCGGCACTTGAATCAGCATCACACAACTCTTTCATTTCCACATCATCTCCAGTTCCATTGGTTGAACATATAGGTTCAGTCTGAGGTGGAAATGAATCTGCAGCAGCAGGAACGACTTCACAAGCAGGCGAATTACTCTTTCCTTTTTCAAAATCTGGCCCTGTTGTTGATCTATTATTACATTCTGTTTCAGGGCCTGACTTCACTGTTGTTGCCTCTGGACCAGACTTGTGTTCGTCTCCCTGCAGTGTTGACAGCAAATTGGGTCCTGCAATTTCAGTTGGCATTTCCGAGTGTGAATCTTCTTTTTGTATCTGAGGTTCTATACTAGAAGAATCCTACTGAACTGGAGAGAGGATTCTGTTTATATCTTGATAGATGGTCTCTAGTGGAAGGAGATTCTTCTTCAACTTGAAACTTGCTGGTTTGTTTGCTAAAAATGCCTCCATCGATTCATTGGCATTTTGTCCAAGTACTTTGCACATCTACATTTAAGAAACAATCTTTAGTGATGACATATCATTTCTTGAATAATATTTCTTCTCATAGACATCAAAATCAGGTAAGATATATGATTTGATTCTGTAATAAATGGGATTTTACCTCATTATAAAGCTGAGCCATTTCCAAACGATCTGGTTTATCGTCACAAGCAACAGCTGAAACTTCTTCTGGAGCTGCACAAAAGGAAAAGGTCGCACCATATTAGCTTCCTAAATGAGCCTGAGTTCTTTTGACATCTTATTTTGCTCTGAAGCAACTAGACATATCGAGTATTTCAAAACCACTGGTTGTCTATATTCAAACTAAACACAAACTCGCCAAAACAAACATATTCCACCTTCCAACCTTAAAACATAACCTGACCAAAAACCAGGAACCTCATAAATGCAACAATACCTCCTACAGACACCTGATTCATGTTCTAGAGTTGGTCATATATTTTTCAGGATTTTGCCACAGGATTTGCCAGCACCTTTGCAATTACAATCACCATGATGAATACTTGAGAATCTGATGGTAAAATTAGAAAGTCCATTACCTGAAGGGAAATTAGCAGCAGCAGCACGAGGATCAAAGTTGTTGCTTTGCTTTGCTACCATCATGTTATCTCAAGTCGTGCAAGGCTTACGAAACTTGATCATATTGAAAAGCATCCACATCACAGCCCAGACCATGAGCCAATCCTGGTTCTGAAAAAGTAATATTAACCAGACCATAACTATATATGTAAATAGATATGTGTTGGGTTGGGGCAGGTCACCTAGTTAAGTTCTCCACTGCCATTCTCATGCATTCCAAGCACAAATAGTGAATTGAGAGAGACAGAGAGAGCGAGAGAGAGAGAACGAACGATAATAATGAATTGAGAGATATGTTTCCATTACAGCACTGAAATAGGCTTCGAAATGAAGAGTTTCAGAGAGAGACAGAGAGACGATGGAGCTCACCTTAGTAGACGATGGTGCAGATGGTGTTTTGGAGCTTCGAAATCGAAACCGCTCTGAGATGAAATCACTGAGATCGATCTGAATCTCTGTGAATGATAAGCTTTTAGAGAGGGTTGACACAGAGAGAGAAACCAAAAAAGTGAAGTGTTAGTTAATTGTGGTTAATTAAGAATGCAATTTACACAGCTTATTTTGCAAATTCTTCCACATGGAACCATACAGAGACTTTGCAGTGGATATAGAAATGAAGTAAACAAAGAAGCCAAACCAGTAATTCATAGGTTTAAAATCAAACATAAAGCAAAAGAGATTAGGATGTTTGCAATTAAATTAATAGAAATAGAGCAGGGTTCACACTCTCATTCTTGAACTCTGAAAATTAGCTGAACAGTTGCGATTGAATTGTTACACCTACGGCTACATCAATGTCACAATTGAGTTAAGAAAAAGAAAAGAGATGAACTTAACTTGAACATGCAAATAACCATTACGTTGATACAGAAGGCATAAATAGGTAATTTCATATGGATACATAAAGCACAATGCAAAAGGTACCTTAATATACTGTGAATGAGTGATAACAGCTTTTGGACGCCGAAAGAATGAAAAGATAAGTCCCAATGGCAGGAAAGCAAAGCCCACACCGCCAAATATCTGGGTAGGACAACAAGAGCTCAATAGTAAAATAAAATATTCTTGGAAAACAGACATATTGTTAGTTCAATAGTATCCAGATCTAACAGGTCACTTTGAACCAGGGTAATTTAGGGTTTAAAACAGGGTAATAAAAAAACAGAGAGTGAAAAATAAAAAACACTGGTTGAAAAATCAGTTCTGGTGATCTGGGGAAAAATAAATGAGATGTGTAAAGCACTGATTAATCAATCCAAACTGATCAATAAAAAACAGAGATTAAAATTCTTCAAAACATTGATTGAAAACCCTAGGAGAAGAATCGACGGGAAGGAAGAACTTGAGAGTGGGAGAGAGAGAGAGAGAGATATAGAGCTTGAGATTTTCTGAAGCGATGGTGCTCACCTTGGTAGATGATGGTACTCACTCTCCTCACCGGACGAATCTGAGATTGAATCACCAAGCTTTGAAATCGAGAGAGAACTTCGAAATCGCCGAATGAATCTGAGATTGAATCACCGAGCTGAAGAAGGTTGAACTTCGAAATCACCTTCAATCGATCAACAGATCTTCAATCAATCTGATCTAAGAATGATAAAGTAGACAAAACCTAGCATGAATCGAATGATTCCATCAGTAAGTATCATCTTCAATCGAACTTGAATGTGAGAAGATAGAGATGAGACTGATCAACACTAACCACGAAGAAAGACCTGTGATCTCGAACACGAACTCGAGATGGCACATTATGATCTGCGAATCGACGATCTACGAATACTTGAATCGAATAAATGAAGGGGTGAATCGAATACTTGAAGAGAAGGGTTGCAGATTAATCGATTAATAAATGAAGGGGTTTGAATCGAGAGAAACGAAAGGGGGTAAAGCAAGAGAGAGTGAAATCAAGGGTATAGTGAGAGCGAGAGAAAGAGAGAGAAAGAGAGAATAGGCTATTTAAGTTTACATTAAAAAAAAAACCCTAATCGTACCCAAGTTCCCGAGCCGAGGCAACTTTGGTGATGGCGGACACGTGGCCTTAGGCAACGAGTCAGGGTTTCCTAAATCCCCCCCAAAGTAAAATATTTAGGTGGCGAGTTTGTATCTGGAAAAGCAATCCATGTTTGACACTTCTTTCAAAAAAATCTGTTTTCAAAAACGGAACCCCGAAACTCGAAACTAGGCACATGGAATGACTTACAGCTACACAAAGCATGCATTATTTGATCATGAAGCATGAAGAAAGAGGCAAGACAGTCCCAAAAAATGCATATTTCCAGTTTGTAACAAGTCTCAAAAATGAACACAAATAGGGCTAATCTATCATGCAAAAATGGCCCTAAAAGAGAGATTAAACACAAGGGACAGCAGCTGGCCCCAAATGGAAAAGGGCCCTTCAACAAAGTTGAAGAGGGGCTCAATAAAAGGCACTTTACAGTTTACGTCAAGTCACGAAAATAATCACAAATAAGGCCAAACTATCATGCAAGAAAAGGGCCAAAAGGGGGGGGGGGAAAGAGACAAGTGATAGCTTCTGACCTCAAACAGAGGAGAACCCTTCAACAAAGTTGAATAGGGGCTCAAAAAAAGACATTTTACAGTTTATGGAAGGGTCCAAAACAGTTCACAAATAGGTCTAAAGTACTATGCAAAAATTGGCCCAAAAGAGAGATATAGAAGCAAGTGGCAGTAGGAGACCTTAAATAGAGGAGAGCCCTTCAACAATGTTGAAGAGGGGCTCAAAATAAGACAATTTAAAGTTTGTCCCGGAGCCCATAAATGATAAAAAACAAGGCTAATATATCATGCAAGATTAGGCCTTAAGAGAGAGATAAAGAAGCAAGTGGTAGTAGGAGACCTCAAACAGCATGAGGTCCTTAATCAAACATGAAAAGGAGCTCAAAATATGGTTATTTACAGTTTGGGTTGGAGCCCAAAAATGCTAGCAAGTATGGCTTAGATACAAAGAAAAATAAGGCACAAAAGAGGGAAAATGGGACTCACCCTTGTAGAACCAAGCTTCAACAACTTTTGGGTCAAGTTTGGGAGCTCTTCACCTCTGGAAAGCAGCCTCAAGTTGTAGGAATGGAGGGTGGAGGCCTTGTGCTAAGGGGTGTAGGGTAAATGGTGTAGGACTTGAGAGGTTTTGGTGCTTGGAAGAGAAGGAGAGGGAGGATCAATGCAAGAGCCTAAGACCAATTTTTTGTAACCCTCAAAACAGGGGCTGGGGGGCTGGTTTTATAGAGGAGAAGGGGGGAGAAAAGGGGGGGAAAAAGGGGGGGGGGAAACCATTTCAAATTTCCCCCCAAAAGGCAGCCCCTCGAACAGTGGGTTGAGTGGAGAATAGCTAGCACAGCTGGCATCCATTCAATCTGTAGAACACTTCGGAAGGTCGTCGGCTAGCAAAATTGGTCAGTCGGCTACTTTAAATAGCCGGTTGGCAATCTATTTGGCCGGTCGGCCATCTGTTCTGGCCGGTCCGCCATCTATTTGGTCTGTCGGCCATCTGTTTTGGCCGGTCGGCAGGAAAAATCTACTCTGCAGGTCCGATTTCAAACGGGCATAACTTCTTCATGTAAACTCCTTTTTAGGTCAATCTTGTCTCAAACTTGAAGCCCCGGAAGTAAGCTTTCCAATCAAACCAGCCTTGCATCAAAATTATAACTGTGAAAATAGTTATACTTGTTTTGGTGAAGGCTGCTCAGTTTTGGTCCAACCGTGATGATGCCCAACTTCAACCAATCACATCTCCACCATCCAGACTTATATTTAAGAGATTCTTGAATGAAAAATGAAGCCCCGTAAGTCTTCTTTCCAACGGTGGTGGCCTCATAGCTTAACTCCAAGTGTGTAGACGGATAAGCTTGATTTAGTGAGGACTGTTCGTCCATCTCTTAGCGATTCTTGCCTATCTTCTTCTCCAACTTGGTTTCTTCTCTTTTCTCCTCTTTTCTTCAACTCTAAACCCCTAAACAAGGTGTTTTGAAAGATTTTTCAAAGATTTCATCTCTCTTTCATTCATTTCCACTTTGTCCTTACTCGGTTTATCGAAAAGCGCATCATTTGACAAAATGTGAGCCTCGGAACATTGTAGAAACTTTATTTCAAAAATATTTTGAAAGAGAGGGTTTTAAGTTCTAAAAACCATCCAAAATAACTTTGGTCCAAAATGGGGTGTGAAGTTGAGATTTGTCTCTCTTCTCGCCGAAGAAACTGAACCTTTGCCCTGCATACCTTTCTCCACCAAGTAAACCATCAGTAACGCCCAAGTCTTGAGGGCGGTCAAAAATGGGGTGTCTACACCTCGATTCCCTCATTCCTTCGAAATGGTAGCCTCTATACCTCCTTCTCCTCAAAAACCTTCCTGGATAGAGAAATTGAAGCTTACCTTTTTTGCGGAGAAGGTTTTTCCTCCTTACAGGCCTCCACCTCCTCCTACTCTAGCTCAACAAAAGCAAGCCCAACTTCTGCTTGCGGCCTTTTCTCAGTTGCCTTTCAATGTTCTCGAGGACGATGTTGCTCTCAAGAACCTTCGATGGGCTTGTGATATTCTGACTCGAGGTCATGTCCTCAACCTCATCGCCCAAGCAGAACTCCACATGTTTTTGGACCAACTCCCATTGCTTCTCCATTGGCACCGGATTTCTTTGGCCACCACCCAATCTTTGGACCAACTTTCATCCCTCCAAGTTCATACCCAGTACGAAGCAGAGAACCTCGTCGAGGAATACAATGATTTCAAGAATAAAGACTCTGCGTACTGGGATGACTTGGATATGGACGAGCTGGAACAAGGGCTAAAAGAGACAGCATTCGAAATAAAGGCTGAAGAACTCTTTTATCAAATGAGAACACATCAACTTCAACAACCAAGCTTGAAACAAATAGAGGATAGAATAAAAAAATTAAAAAAAAAAAACAGAAATTTATTGACCATAGTTAGACTAAATTCCATGATCTCATTATTTATTCTATTCCTTACTTTTATGAACTGGAATTGGTACCCAAAGAGGAACTTTTAATGTAATTGCTTTTGTTTTAATACATCTAAGTCTTTTCTCTTTGTTTGGCATGGTTCGAATTTATCTCTGTTTGCCTTCATAAGAAAATTTAGGGCTTCGAACTAACCAATCTCATCCTTCGAATTTGGATTCAATAAAACACTAAAAACCAACATGAATTTTCCAATTTATGGAATACGGTTGACAACTTTTACTGATTTCTGTTTAGGATCAGTGCTTCAAATTTTAACAACCACGCCCATTAAAGCTTGTTTTAATCATGTCCAATATATGGTCATATGGTTAGCACGATCAATCAGTTTTAAATTGACCCTTTTTGCTTCGAACAACAGTTCATACTTTCAAAAATATGGAAACCCCTCCCTCGAAGGTTGCACTGCTTTAATCCAACAAGAAATCTTCAAACCAACTACTGGTTTTGATACTTCGAACAACAATTTCCATCCTTAAGGGATCTCAAGTCCTGCTTCGAAGGATTTATTCTACTAAGAAACCTTAAAACAAGCTTTCAACCTTGTTGGGGCATACAAACACTTAAGCTTTCTTGCATCCTTAGGTGTGGGATGTGCTTCAAAATCGGCTCCTTGCCTTCGAAGCTATTTGTTGGATCTCGGCGCCAAAATTTGGCTTCGAAGCCAAATACTGTATTTCGAAGCTGATATCATTATTTGAGATATGTTTCCCTCCAAAACTATCAACATTGAGGGAAACCTTTCGCATCCGTATTTTTAGTACTTTTTTGTGAATTCCGTCCGTGTCACACGACTAGGTATATCTTTAGACACAAAAGTTTTTTAAAACCCTTTTATTTCATGTTCGGAATTCACCTATTTCCCTATTGCACAAACCCTTTATCTCTACCGACCTTCCACTTTTCTCTACTCCCTTTCCCAACTTCGTTCTCTGAGAAAGCTTTCTATCAATGGCTTCTTCTTCATTGAAAGTACCAGTCGTAAAGCGTGCGAGCCCATCTGTAACTCTGAAAAGGATCATTGAGGCAGAATGTGAAAAGTACAAGGCTGGTGAGAAAAGCGCCATTGACGGACACTTATTCATCTCTCGACGTCATGAGCAACAGGACTATGTGCTTGGGCCCATCTTCAAGGAGATTCTTACTGAGCTTCCAGTTTTATATCCACATCTAGAAAACCATTGTCTCCTTTACGAAGGTGGTCTTGATTGGGGAAATTGGAGGATGAACCGTCCCCATCGTTGCTGGCCCACGGTGAGACCGGAGTGGCAAGAATGGTATGATCGGGTTGTCCTTGATAGGACTCTGGACCTTCAAGAGCTCTGCCTTCTCGACGCCCTCCAACTATCCTGGTTCACTATCTCAGAGAACCCTTTCTTAATACCTGCTGCCCTTTGCTTTTGGAATTCTGCCTTTAATTTCTTTCAATTCAGATGTGGGATGATGGCCCCTACTATTCTTGATATTTGCCATCTATTAGGATTGTCCCTCATTGGTACCCCTATTGGACCAGATTATCCTGACCTACCAATCCCCTCACTACAAGAATTTACACAATTGCCGACCACTTTTGCCGACCAAAAAAATTTTGGTCGTAAAAAAATGACATTTGCCGACCAAAAAACATTTCGTAGCTAAAAGTTGATACTATTACCGACTAAAGTACTTTTGTTGCAAAAAGGTGATTTTTTGCGACCAATTTAAAATATTAGTCGCTAAAAATGATGTTAGGAGGTGAAAAATTGGGCGGAAACAGTAAAGTCTTTTAGTGACTAACACAATTTAGTCGCAGATATCAAAACGACGTCGTTTTGATATCGAAATGCACTGGTAGACAATGGCCGACCAAACTTTGATCGTTATATGTTAAGATTCTGCGACCAAAAACAAATTTAGTCGCTAAAGGTAAAATGTTTTTTTAGTGGGATATATATCACAGCCCCTGTTCTTGTTCTCTACTTACAACCATTTGTTCAAACCTCTCACATAGATTCTCCTTCACCACCAAGCCTCACCTCACCGCAGACCACCACCACCGGCACAGATCGCCACGACCACCACCGCAGATCCCCATTGCTGTCGATGATCCTCCTCTGTCCTCCGCTGGTGCCTCTCTCTCTCTCTCCTAAACACCCACCGCCGTCGATCATCCTCCTCCTCCACTAGTGCCTCTGCCGGATCCGAGAAGATCATCGAAATCTAAATCAGATTTGAATCCAAGGCCGAGATCTAACCGTGAGCGATCCACAGCGACGCAATGGCTTCCAAATCCTACGACAGGATCACCGATATCTGAGACGACCTCATCTCTCTTCTTATCAAACCCTACACTTTCTCCTCCTCCTCCACTAGTGCCTCTGCCGGAAACCAAACAGAAGCTTGATATATCTGTGCATTTTTCGCTCCAAAATTTGTTTGTGCCTGTCTCTCGCAGATGTGTGCAAGAAGTTCTTCCACCTGCTCTTGATTCTACTTCAGACCCACCTGCAATCTTCGATGGGACGACAAGGTATAAGGTTCAGAATTAATGCACTTTCTTTTGGGTTATTTGATTTTGATTTTTTTTTTTTTTAGCATTTCCCAGTTGCATCTGTGTGTTTGTTTCAATATACCCATTTGAAATTTTTGCTATTTTTTTGGACTTGTTCATGTAAAATTGATTTTGGGAATTTTTGAATTTCTTGATTTTCAGGCTGTACATTTCCTACATATGCCCATAAGCCCAACGTGCGTGGATTACCCGAAACTGTAAGGTTGTTTTCTAAACTGTTCTTGCTCTGGCTTCTGCTTAATTTTCTCTCTCTCTCTCTCTCTCTCTCTCTCTCACACACACACACACACACACACAGGTTAAGATTGTATATCATTTGAATAAAGTGTATTTGTTTTGGACACATTTTCATTTATTTGTTTTCTTTATTTTCGAAAACAGGGATTGCAGGAGAAGATAAAATTGGTTCCTATTGATCTACAAAATAGGCCAACTTGGTACAAGGAGAAATTTTACCCGCCGAACAAGGTGAAATTATTCTAATGCAGTCTGTGCTTTATGGGTATTTCAATGAATGATGTATATGAAATTGTTCCAAATGGTTTTATATGATGCAAAATGAAATTCTCTGATTATATAGTAGAAGAGTCAAAGTGAATTACAATAGAATGGCTTCATTGCTTGAATATTACAGATTTACAAAAACTTGATGGCTTAATTTTAAGTGAAACTTGTGAGAATTTAGAAATCTTACAACTCGGTTATGAGCCAAACAATGGATAGTTCTGACAAGAAGATGAAATTGAGATGAGACATATCGGTATGCATTTGCATCTTCTTCAGAAAGCGGAAGCAGAATAAGCCAAGGAAGGAAGTTGAAAGTAAGTTTAAGATAATTTTATCTAGACCTCTATGTAGACTTTAATATGATTTTGTTGCCGTTGAAAAAATTAACAAATCAAAAAAAGAAAGTAGAACAAATCCAAATGACGTCAATTATCTCAATATGTTCTTGATAAAAATAAATCTTGGAAAGAAAATTAAAAGATCCCTTCTTAATGTGCTTGTGGAGAATTTTGGGATGCTATTTCGGTGTACGATTACGATGGTTAATTTTATGATTTGAAGGAAGTCATCAACATTACCTAAAAGATCTATGTTTTCATTTGTTACTGTTATTGACATAATTGTTAACTTGTTTCATCAATTTGTAAAGATACAGATGAAATTAGCAATGAGGAACCCTTGCAATATGATTTTGATACTATTAGTGTTGCAACAAATAACTTCTCTGATGCTAATAAGCTCGGACAAGGCAGATTTGGTGTTGTTTACCGGGTAATTGAACATTCAATTACAAATAAGTTATATCCTTCATGTTTAAAACTACATTCTCTATTTGATGAAAATAGTTTAATTTGTTTAACATCAATTTTGTGCATCTTCAGGGTAGTCTTCCAAACAGACAAGAAATAGCTGTGAAGAGGCTATCTAATGATTCTAGACAAGGAGAACTAGAATTTAAGAATGAGGTTATGCTAGTTGCCAAGCTTCAGCACAGGAATTTGGTTAGACTCCTAGGATTCTGCCTTGAAGGAACAGAAAGAATTCTTATTTACGAGTTTGTGACCAACTCAAGCCTCGATAACTTCATATTCGGTATGATTGTGGTGTTGTTTTCCTATACATTGCATTGTCATCAACTTCATCTAAACAACATCTCTAAATATATATATTGTCGCAGCTTTCCATCAAAGAGAGGACACTATAGCAAAAATATATCTTGATGCACATATCAGTTTCATCATATAATAAAGCCTAAAACTAGAATCCTTGAAGTGCATTTTTAGATGATTTAATAAATTTTGAGTTTTGATTCAACCTTCTACTTGGATAAACATGTAGATCCCATTAATCATTCACAATTGGATTGGGATAAGTGTTACAAGATCATAAGAGGAATTGCTCGGGGACTTCTATATCTTCATGTAGATCCCCTTACCTATCTTTTTTTGAGTTTGCTCTTCATGATTTACAATTGTTGTGTAATTGTTCTATAGAATTTACATTAACTTGTAAGAATGATCAACTTCCCTGGCATTTATAGTACATATATTAGCTGATTTAAGGTAAGGGAAAACCCAGTGATCTTTGTCGTTTAACACTTTATGTGAATATTTTAATGGATGGTGTCACTTTTGGACAACCCTAACTAAGTTTCGAACTAATGTCAAGTAGTTGCTAGATGAACCTACCCGGACTTTGGTTTTGCCAAGACCTCTTGATATTTTAGCTCCTGAAACCTAGTACATTAGCTGGTTTATGGTTTCTTGATGAGATCTGAATAATCAGTAATCATAGAATTTTTGTCACATGATAAAAAGTTAGTGCAGTGGACGTCTTTAGATAGTTAGATAGTTACTTCTTTTTCATTTCAGCCCAATTGATTGCATCCATTGGACTTCTGCTGCACAACTATCTTTGCTTGAAGACGAAATGCGGAGGGTAGAAAGAGTAAATGTGAGGCACACGCTTAAAGTTTCATTGCTTCGCTGTTTATTTTACAATAATTTGTGTATCTGATATCACTATGTTGAATCTGTTTATAGTTAACAGAATTTGTGACTTTTTGGCTTGCTGTTGTCTATTTTCAAGTTTAAATATTATCTTTATTGCAAATCCAAGGGATTTAACATCATTTTCAAAACGGGTTCAGCCCCAAAAATCACCCCAAAAATCTGAATATCTGGGCATGACTTGCCTTTTAGACATGATGTTACTTGGGTTTCACTGGTTTCTTAACATAGAATTCATAATTTCTTTTATGAGTTACATCTTTGGAATGATATTAGAGACTAGTTTTTCTTGCTTGATATTCTACTGTAGAGATGAATTCATCAGGACACCTTGAAGAGACCAAATAATCTTTCAAAACTTATCTTCTAATATGTGACATTGTCAGTTACTTTAAAATAAAAATAATAAAAAATAAAAAGGAAGAAAATCTTCATCTCACATTAAAAGTATGCCTTAGTACTGTGCATGATAACTTTGTTCATTTGTCAAGTTCATTAAAAATAAAAACTGAAATAGTTAAAAATTAATGGTTTTCATTAATGACAATGAGGTTTCACTGATGCTTTCAGAAATGGGATCTTCTTTGGTGGATGTTTTTAGAATGGTAAGACCTCAATGCTTTCAAAAAGTTCTCAAATTTTTAACAAAAGGTCTAACGATTTTCATTGATGACAATCAGGTTGTCTGAATTTTATTATGGACAAAGTTGAGTGGTTGTGATTTGCAATTTTTGCTTTTGTAATGGATGATGATTTTGTATGCATATGGCTGTGACCACATACAACACATCCCTTCCTTATGCTGAAAGATATAGAAATGGTCACTACCTGAGTACCTAAATTTAGAATGTGAAATTTTGTATTTGAACTGGTCTGTCCAGGGCCTTTTAGATTGTTAAGTCTATTGTTTAATTTCAGGAAACGTACAGGTTGCCTTGGTTTGGAATATTAGAAAAGAGAACTCCCCTTCCTCGAAAAAGTTAAATGCTTTGGCCAATGTGTGCCCATTCTCTCTCTCTCTCTCTCTCTCTCTTTCATTTTTATATTTTCTTTGGACAAGATAGTTTATTTTAATTCATTGACTGATGTTCAAACTGTTGTTTGTAGTTCTTATGGAGATATGGTGGGCCAAACAGGAAAGTCCATTTAATTCATTCTATTTGGGCAAACTTCCAGACTTCAATTAACAATGTGAGTGTAAAGTGTGTGGGTTTTTGTGTCTGTGCACTTGTGTTTACTTGTTGGTGTGGGCATCCATACACTAAGTATGTTTAGTATGAAATGCTTCATTTGTTTGTTAAAGTGGATATAATTAGCTTGTAATTTTTTAGAATGTTGGTCTCATTGCTAAGATGGTGTTATTTTGATGATCGTTTGTGTTGTCCTGAGACTGTGGAGGTGGTTGAGAAAGCAACTGAACCTCTTTTATGAAATGCTCTTACCAAGAACACAAAAGATTCATAATTCTACTTTCATGGAAACAAAAGAAAAACTCAGTTCAAAGCTTTCTTTCTCTGTTTGGGTAAAAAGCCTCATTTCCAACCAAGTAACATAACCACTACCATCTTTAGGAACACTCAAGGCACCCAAAAAAGGGACAGTTACACCGCTCAAATATTTCAATCCATCCAACAGTATATAAGAAGATGATCCACAGACAGACCCACCCTCTTTGCACTTGCAAAACCAATTAGGAATAGTTTTTCTGCTTTTGATCAGATTATCTACTATAACAATTTTCACCTGGGATATCTCCCTGCAAAAAAGACCAACTGAGAAGGGCCCTTCAAATTTTCAAATCCCTTTCCAAGGAAAGTGAAGTGTGTCACCCTCCAACTTGTAATAAGACTTCACTTTTAATTTCCTCAATTTGGAGTACCAACCAATGTCATCTTCCTTCGAGCCCTGTACTAAGCTCCTGATACAACAGTTTCAAAAGAACTTGTATCCCCTGAACCTTCCTATCATGTAATGATCTTTGTAACCCACATTGCATGCCATCACCTCTCCCTCTTAGAAGTTTTTTCTTATATGCATAAATAAATATACATATCACGAAGGGAATAAATAATGATCTGAGCTGCTGCTCTCTGGTGTGCCCTGCATCAGTTGATGTTGTCTGTGTGCCCTATCTACTATGCTGCTTGTTGCTATGTTCAAATACAGTCTTGACGCTGTTATGCTGCTATTATTTGTGTGTATGGCCTATCTGTTGCTATCATTTTGCTTAAACTAACATCACAAAAACTTGCTTAAACTACTTTTACAACAGCTTTATCTAAATGTCAGGAAATTATGGTCTTCATACAAAAGAGAGAAGGGAAAAATTGAACAAGAACAATTTCTTTATCATTTTTATTATGTTTCCATGTTGACATTATTTTTTGTGATCATGACTAACATGAATGAAAGCATCCACAAGCTGGGCTATTTATCCACGAATGAGAAGTAAACTCAGCTACTAATGTTAATCTGAGTAACTGCAAAGAACATAGTATTAAATCCTCAAGGTTTATTTGAGAAGAAACACCAAATGAAAAGGCCACTTAGACACTTATTAGATATTGTGTTCTCTTTCAGGTTAAGCGAGATTCAATGGGCTGCTTTCATTCTATTATGTGCAGGGTGCACCACAGCACAACTTAATTCTTCGTAAGAGTGATCCTGACCATTTTTTAATTGTGTTTTTGATGGGTTTTCAAATTTGCTTTGTTCAGAGTTTGTTAAAACACATTGTTTTACTAGTCTATTTGGAACATTGGCCTTGAAAATTTCTTTAAAGCTGTTGTTGGATTGGTTCAGTTGGACTGGCATGAACGATGAGTATCCATGATATGCAGGCCCTGGCTCGTAACCAAGTGATGAATGAAAATCTTTGAATTACTGATGTTCTGCTTATACCTAAACGTATTTCTTAATGACTTTGAATTATATATCAGTTTCTTTATTCATGTTGCCATGGTTGAGAACAAAGGGACATTGTTCCTTGCTTTATAGTTTTGGATATCATCTATAATTTATTTATTTTTCTTTATTATTGGCTATTTCTTACAAAGTGAGATTGTTTGTGCAGTTCTGATAGAGTCCTTCAAACTCCTTATCAAGGTTGGGTGATGGCCATTGTGAATTGTTGATGCTTTTAAGCTTAATCCCCTCAATTGAAGGGAAAGCCTAATTCTTATTATCACTTGATACTTTCTTTTAACAATTGCAGGTTACGGCACTTCTAAGTGGTTTTGCAGGAGTTTACACAGAGGTAAATTCTTTAAGCATCTATCTGCCTCTTTTGTTGTCTGGAACTGCAGTGCTTGTTCAATGCATGATTAGTGCTCAAATGAATTGCACAGCCAATATGTGCCAAAAAAAGAATTGCTCAGCCAATAGGATATGATCAGAAATTTGGTTGATTTTGGTTGGCAAATAGTTAAGTAAGTAACTCCCTAAAGAGGATCTTGATTGATGCTATGCTGAAAAGAAAGTATTTGGAATTCTCAATTCAGTACTTTAATAGTCATTATAGTTACTAGGTTTGCTTCTCTATCTCTATTCATACCCTTTTAAATCTATAACTAGTAAAATTTTATTGTTTCAAGTGGATGCAATGAACAATTAAAATTTGTGATTTTCAATGTCTACCTTTTTTTTTTTTTTCTTTTTTGGTTGTATTAGATGGCCCTTCTATTCTGTATTTTAGGTGATCAGCATTAACCTTCTTGTTTAATAATAGCTTTTTTCACATGTTTTCTAACTTTTTGATGGTGCACACACCACATCTCTGACTTTGTAATTTTATAAAGACTCTTATTTTCATTAAACCATTTACACCCTATCTCATTTATCCTTTCTGAACAGAGCCTTCTGGATACTGTTTCGAATTGGCTATCTGATTGTACATTTCTAGGGCCACATGTTTTCTTAAGTCATAAGTCAAGATTAACTTGTATCAATTTCACTATCCTCACTATCACTACCCTCTGTCCTGGTAACAACTGAAGTTAATCACATTGATTTGTCTTGCTGCAACTACTCATTATCTTTGTGCACCTGTTGCCAGATGAATTTACTTAATTTCATTGATGTTAAAATGCAGGCAGCAAAGAGAAGCCAAACACCTCTTCCTTCTCAGGTAAACAGGGGTAGCTATTGGGCTGAAACTTTTGCCTTCTAAGATTTAAATAAGGTATTTGGGGAATCACTGTCTTTCATTCTTTCTTGTAAACTTTGTACAAATCAATAGGCCTTGGAATCTAATCCATAACTTGCTAATGCATGAATCCCCTTTTTTCCCCTGTCTGGTGGTAGGAGGGTGGGGGTATAGGATTTTGGATATTGGACTCCTTGAAAATATTTATTAATGATAGTTTGATAACCGCAAACATGTCGCATTCTTTCTTATCCTCCACCTCCCCAAACAACTCTCCAATTCTCTCTCTCTTTCTCTCTCAGATGAATTATGTTGGAAGCTTATTGGAGGTTTGCTTACATTATTTTTTCTTTGTACTTGCCATAGTGGATGAACCATGCATAGGGATTGACTTCTTCAAATGGGTGTCAATGAAAATTAGCAAATGCATTTCCTTAATTACTATTTATTCCTTTTTTTCCCCCCTCTCTCTTTATATATCTGAAGGTGAATGATGACCGGATTATTCTTGACAAGACTCTTACTGATCAAGTGTCTATATGGAAAAGCAGCAGAGGCCTGACTGATAAGGTGGTCTTGGACCATGATTGCCCTGGAGAAACATGTACTTACTATCAAATTGGAGATGTATTTGTTTGTGAGAAGACTGGGCAGGTTCATGGTATGAAACACTAGTTGTGGTTATTGAATGTGGCAACCTTGTTTGTTTGTTTAATAAGTACAATTACATAGATTTTTATTAGTGGTTTATGTTTTTTGTTCATGCAGTTTGTGATGATACATGTAGAGAAGCTGTTTTGGACCCTACAAATGAGCTTTTGGTTTGTACAATATCTGGACATTGTTTTGATAGATTGCTGTCACCAGCTGAAATGGAACCAGACACTGTAAGAGAGATCTCCTCTAGCTTATACTTTTGGCTTTTTGTCATAAAACACACTTAGACCTGTTAAAAATATGAAAATGAAAAAAGAAGAGCTAGACCTTCACTGTGCATGTCTATGGCTATCATGTGATGTTGTTGCCTCGTGTACTTCACAATACATATATGAACTTATGATTGTTGGACCATCATCTCTTCATAGTATAATCCCTTTCATTTGGTTAATCATATATGCATGTGTTTCAAACTGCAATCAGGGTGATAAATGTAATTGGCTAAAATCTTGTTATCTCTTTAAAATAATGGTTCCTTCTTTTACTCCTACGAAACTAGGAGCAACAGACTTTTAATTCAATAAAAGTCATCACCATCTGCTAAAGAACTAAATAAACTAAACTTCCTAGCGAAAGTTAGCACACGGAAGCTTGTCTTTTATGATTCAATGTTTTATTTTATAACTGTCCAGGAAATAAATATAACTGCTTAGTGCTTAGTGTTCACAAATAGTATATAATTTTTGATCATCATTCAGGTGGATTCTGTAGTTTACTTTGTTGACGCGTACGAAAAAGAGAGATTTGCAGAGGCCAAAAAGGAGCTGGATGCCCTATATAAAAAACAACAACAATACTGAACAATACTCAACCTTGTTAACACCAGATGTTCTTTTTTTTTGAAATTGATGCTAATTATGTTAAATTTTTGTTGGAATGAATTGTTTTTTATTTTTTGGGGTTTAGAATAGGGTTTTGTGAATTGTTCCTTGTTTTTGGAATCAATGTTGCTGCTGCTGAGTTATGTGTTGAAACTTGGATATAGAAAATTTTATAATAAGACCTGTTTTGATAATGAATTCGTCCTATTTTGATTATGAATTCGCTAAATATTACAGGTGTATTATTTTCCTGCTTTGGCGACCAATTTATTAGTCGCGACAAATAAATTATTTTTTTTCGCGAAAAATGGCAATTGCCGACCAAGAGTTTTGGTCGCAAAAAATACATCTATTGCCGACCAAAAATTTTGTTGGTCATGGAAACTCACTTTTGCCGACCAACAATTTTGGTCGCGAAAAGTAACAATTGGCGACCAAACTAGTTTGGTCGCACAATGTCACAGTTGGCGACCAAAATTTTTTGTCACGAAATGTCACAATTGGCGACCAAACTTTTTGGTCGCGAAATGTGTCAATTGGCGACTAAGAAATTTGGTCGGCAAAAGGCGACTTTTCGCGACCAAAGTGTTTTAGCGACAAAATGAATTAGTCGCGGTAATTAAATATTTAGCGACCAAAAAATTAGTCGGCAAATCCAACTTTTGCCGACCAATGAAAATTTTGGTCGCGAATTACTTTTGCCGACCCTCAATTGGCGACCAAACTAGCGACCAAAAAAATTGGTCGCGAATAACTTTTGCCGACCAAAAATAGACTTTTAGCGACCAATTTTTTTGTTGCTAAAAGTGTTAATTGTTGTAGTGTGATCCACGACACTCTCTCTAAAATAAAGGCAAACTGGTAATTTCACAAAATTCAAATTGTGCTCCACCATCCTGAACTCCCACTACTCACAAATTCTCTTTGCAGAGAGAGGTAAATGGAATAAAAAACAAGAGCTAATCTAAAATATGAAGCACAGGCACAATTCGTACCTGCCCTCTTGTTAAAGACCAATATAAACGCAAGTGAAGCAGAAGACTTCCATTTCCACTTGACTGGAAGAAACAAAGACGGTAGTAGAAACCATACGTATATGCAACTCTAGTGACGTAAAGTATCTCACATCACAACATAGCTTGTACACTTAGGTAGCTAAAATGGTTGAGTGTAATCTTATTTGTCAATAATGAATAGAAATATGATCATGTAGATACCAACAGACTTCTCTGTTCGACGAGTTGAGGAAGCATGATTGAAAGAAGTCACATACTTGTTCGCATACTTGTCTTTGCATATTGTTATATGCTAATTGCCTTGTGTAACATTGTTTCTTGTATGCTCATTTTACACTAGTATGCTCGCATGTTTAGGTTGCATAGCATCGAGCATGCATCCCTTGCCTCTTGATCAACCATGA